CTCATCCTCGGACCGAGGCATTTGTAACTCTGAAAGTTTAAAATGAGGAGCTAATGGTGTACTTACAGGCTTGCACGTATGCATATTGAATCTCTAGAGAACCCTTTCAATGTACCTCTTCTGAGAAAGATGTACAACACCGTCTTCTCTTCAAATCTCCATACCAAGGGTTTTCTTTGCAGCTCCTAAGTCCTTCATGTCAAATTCCTTACTCAACAGTTTCTTCAAAGCATTAATCTCTGTAATGTTGTTAGCAGCAATAAGCATATCATCAACATACAACAGTAAATAAATCATTGAGTTACCAGACATCTTCTTGTGATACACACAGCTATCAAATGCACTCCTTGAGAATTCATGTGTAGTCATGAATGCATCAAACCTCTTGTACCACTGTCTAGGGGATTGCTTCAAACCATACAAAGACTTCTTTAGTTGGCATACGTGATCTTCTTTTCCCTCAGCTAGGAAACCTTCAGGCTGATCCATATAGATTGTCTCTTCTAGATCACCGTGTAAGAAAGCAGTTTTGACATCAAGCTGTTGAAGCTCCAAGTCAAATTGGGCAACCAATGCTAGTAGCACGCGAATTGAGCTATGCTTCACGACTGGAGAGAAAATCTCATTGTAGTCAATTCCCTCCTTCTGACTGAATCCTTTTGCAACCAATCTCGCCTTGAACCTAGCATCTTCCACTTCAGGAATTCCCTCTTTCTTTCGGTAGACCCACTTGCATCCAACTGTCCTCTTCCCCTTTTGTCTTTTCACTAAGACCCATGTCTGATTCTTGTGAAGAGACTCCATCTCTTCAGTCATGGCTAACCGCCATTGTGCGGCATCCTTGCAAGAAGTTGCTTCAATATACGAGGAGGGCTCCAGATCTTTAATCTCTTCTTGTGCAGCTACGAACGCATATGCAATCAAGTTTGCTTGATCTATAAGGCGTTCCGGTTCTCGTGTCTGCCTCTTCTCCCTCCCCTTCGCAATTGTGTATGGTTCATTGACAGCAAGTTCTTCAAGGCCTACATCTTCTGACTCATCTTTAACCTGAGTCTCTTGATCCTTTTCCTTGGCAAGCTCCACCGGAAGCTCCACCTGCTCGTTGTTCTTGTTTCCTGAAAACTCCACGGAAACTTTACGGGGATCAAGTATAGAGGATTCATCGAAGGTGACATCTCTACTAACTATAAATTTGAGTAAAGACAAACACCAAAGTTTGTACCCTTTTACTCCATCCACATACCCTACGAATATGGCCTTCTTAGCCCTTGGTTCAAGCTTTCCTTCATTAACGTGATAATAAGCTGGACACCCAAATACTCGTAAGTATGAATAGTTAGAGGGTTCACCTGACCATACCTCATTCGGAGTCTTAAAGTCAATTGCCGATGCTGGAGATCGATTGACAATATGAGCAGCAGTGTGAACTGCTTCAGCCCAAAATACTTTGGACATTTTGGCTTGTAGGAGCATACAACGAGCCTTTTCAAGAAGAGTTCTGTTCATTCTCTCGGCAACTCCATTCTGCTGTGGGGTATGCCTGACAGTCCTATGTCTTGAGATCCCATGAACCTTGCAGAATTCATTAAACTCTTCATTGCAAAACTCCAAGCCATTGTCTGTGCGAAGATACTTGATTTTCCGCTCCATTTGATTTTCAACCAAAATCTTCCACTCTTTAAATGCTTCAAAAGCATCACTTTTTGCCTTCAAAAAATACACCCAAACCTTTCGTGAGAAATCATCAATAAAAATGAGAAGATACCTCTTTCCGCCCTTCGATGGAAGTTTAGAAGGACCCCATAAATCTGAATGGATGTAGTCTAGCACTCCTCTTGTCTTGTGTTTGCCAGTGCTGAAGCTGACCTTCTTCTGCTTCCCTAGAACGCAGTGCTCACAGAAGTCAAGCGTGCTGATCTTCTCACCTTCCAAAAGTTTACGATTGCTCAACATCTCCAGTCCACGTGCGCTCATATGACCCAGTCTCATGTGCCATAGTCTTGCCTTGTCATCATTAGATAACTGCACTGTAGATGCATTTGCAGAGCCAACAATGGTGCTTCCGGCCAATGTGTAAAGGCCGTTCTCCAGCTTGCCTTTCAGCATGACTAAAGAACCTTTAGTCACCTTCATAGTTCCTGCTTCGCTCATGTACCTGTAGCCTTGTTCATCCAGAGTACCCAAGGAGATCAAATTCTTCTTCAGATCAGGAACATGACGGACTTGTGTAATAGTCCTCACGATTCCATCATGGCAGCGAACCCGAACTGAGCCAATGCCAACTATTGCACAAGTTGCATTATTGCCCATTACTACGGTTCCTCCACTTTTCTCGTAGCTGCTAAACCAGTCTTTTCGGAATGTCATATGCAGAGTACAAGCAGAGTCTAACACCCATTTGTTTTCATAACTACTATTATTATTACACGATGTTGTTAGTACATAATCATTATCAAAATTATGTACCTGTTCAACTGTAGATGCACTCGCCTTTTCCTTGGACTTTGACATTGGGCAATCTCGTTCAAAGTGCCCCTTCTTGCCACAACCCCAACACTCTGTATTCTTCTTGTTCACACGAGACTTTGATCTGTGCTTTGATTTGGTCTTTCCCTGTTGGCTAGTCCGGCCTCTTACAAAGAGGCCACTTGCCTGGTCATCTCTATCTCCTTCAATGTGCCTCCGCACATCACTAGAGTTAAGTGCCTGCCGCACTTGCTCAAGCTTGATAGACTCCTTGCTATACATCATTGAATTCTCAATATCACGATATCCTGAAGTCAATGAAAAAAGCAAAGCACATGCAAGCGTCTCCTCCTCCTTTTTAATTCATCCAATTTGTAAGTCCATGACAAGTTTATTGAACGCATCTAAATANNATCGTTAAAAAATCATGTTGCTCTGATACCAATTGTTAGCGGAAACGTAAAAGAAAGAACACAAGATTTAACGTGGTTCGGATCAGAATAATCCTACGTCCACCAGAGAACAGTTGTCTTTTTAATATTAACAAAGGAAGGGGAGAGTTCCTAATTACACTTAAGAGAATTTCTCTCTTAAACTCTCTACTCACTACAATGTGTTGTATTATTTTTGGGATGGTTTCTACAAATGAAGGAGTGCATCTATTTATAGAGGTAAAGACCTCCTCTTGATGTCATTGGTGACATCAAACTACCTCCTCTTGATGTCATGGGTGACATCAAAGGAGGAAGCTTCCTCCTAGCATCCACACCAACTCTTTCCACCAACTCTTCCAATTGGCATGCCATTGTTGACTAAACATAAACCAACACCTTCATGTATTAAATACATAAGAAATGTTGTGACTTCATACGAGCCAAAACGGCTTAAATTGTAAGCAACCATGCAACTTCTTCGAAAACGAGGGACACACACACAAACAGAGATGGAGAGAGAGAATAGCGGGAAGGGTCGTGGCGCACCGCGCACGTTGTTAGTAAGTGTCTAAAATCATTACTAGTCAATATAATGATATGCTAACTAGGGACTGATTAGGACAAGTGAAGAGATAAATTAGGCAATAAGAAGACGAGCAAGTTTTGGATGATATAGATAAGATGTTGCATGCTGAAAGTTGCATAGAGAATTTGAGGTTCTACGGCCCGTCAGATGGGCAAAAGAAAGATAGCCGGATCTGTAAGAAGGTTGACAGTTCAAGGAAAACATTAAGTTGCAGAAAGCTTGAAGCTCTAGTCCTATCATATCGGAAATATAAGGAGTAGTGTGAGGTCGTAGAAGTGTGGTATGAGCGAACAAGTTTTGGCAGTGAGGTGGGAGACCAATGAAAAGAGAAGAAGAACATCTACGAATCCCACCTAGCATTTCCTTGGACTAGAAGCACCAAAGAAGAAAAAACAAAAGCATCAGCAACAAAATAGGAATAACCTGATAACTTTCCACTCTAACCAGTTCATCATCTCTTTAAGGATTACTATCCAAAGAAAAAGTAAACTTCCATATACTGACTTCTAACACTACTAGGATTCCCAAGTAAAATTAGGAAATTAAATAAATTAAAATTTAATAATCCATTTAGATACAAAAAGCTTATTATGAACAAAAAACACCCTACACTTCATAACTATAACTTGATATGATTCTTGATTCAACATCTGTGCATTACGGCTAATCAACAACAACACCAAACCCAGTGTAATCACACAAGTAGGGGTCTGGAAAGCGTAGTGTGTACGCAGCCTTACCCCTACCTTGTGCAGGTAGAGAGTTTTCCGGTAGACCCTCGGCTCCAAGCAAACATGCAAAACACGATAGTATAGAGAAGAAATGCAGTAGTGTAAAAGTCAGGAAGGCAGTGACAACAACAAGGAAAAAGAACAGTCAAAAGACAAGCAACATCAGGTAGTAATAGAATTATTTTAAGAAATTGTAAGTCATTACACTTGTGAGTCTTATGATACAAACAGAACAACTGAGAGCCCCACTACCGAAACAAGTGATGCAAAGTCTAATATCAGAAAATCTGGCAGTTTTTTCAAGTTCAAAATTACTGAATTTGACAAGTTCTTGCACATGCTTTCTAACACTAGACAACAAACGTATCAGACACACACAAAGTACAGCTTCATATTCATTCAAAGAGGAGGATGCTATATATCAAATAACCAATTAAAAACTACAGAGAAATCAAGCTTTAATGACCGAAATCATCAGTGAACTTTGAAAAAAGTACACAAGACTATTTTGTCTTCATGGAAATTACAAGAACAATCTTTCTGAGCTATGTGCATCAATAAGTACAATCAAGAGTAAGACAAGAAACACAGACCATTTCAAGAATGTCATCTTCAGTCAAATTACTCGCAAGTGGGCTCCTTTCTGCTGACAAACCCCACATGTTGATTCGAGGACCCACGTCAGGGTCTACATGAAGATTAGCAAGGCCTCTGTTTCTCTGTGAATGCCTTGATTGTTTCGACTTTGATTCTTCCCCTGATGCAATGGCTGACTCCTCCGCAGCAAATACATCATTTATTCTTTGAGGTGCTACGTGCAGTCCATTACCATTAACTTGATGTTGGTAGAGAAAAGAGGGATAAAGCATGGACCCCATATGTAGAGATGCATTACACTCTCCACCCCCAGGATGAACTGAAGGCTCTACATATGGTCTTTTAAAAGAGAGATCATTCCTTGCAAATCTATCCCTGAATGAGCCAATAACTACTATAAAAAGAAAAATCATTTGGACCAATTTTTCCAGAACTCTAGCACTAATTCAAATTTGAGAAAACACTCTTATGTTTCCAAATAACTGAACGGAAACACTATTTCAACTTTGGGGAAAGGGCTATACATTTTCGAATTAACATCCAAAGCATCTTGTCCATCAAGGAGCTCACATAAAGCTTCACCAATATCTGGAGGTAACTCCTGACAGCAGTACATGTACCAGAGTCATAAAAGCCTCTTTACAAACAAGAGTACATGGAAAAATAAGCTAATAGTACAGTGACAAGAATATAACCCATGCCTGGCAATCTCTACTAATTTTGACTAGTTTGTAGTCATTCCATGGATTCTTAAGGTGAAGAGTTCTTTGGAAAGGCAGATCATACAATCGTAGCCATTTCACTTGGAAGCTGCGACCCCAAGGATTACGTCCACCATTTCCTTGACTCCAAACTTGGTCTCTCCTCCAACCAACTGTAGAAATCATTTGGGCGTACCCTTGAAAGAAGCCACTCATGTTGACACTAAATATTAGTATCACCTTGCTGGAATTCTGCCCACAAAAAGCATGTCTATTTGTCTGTACTGTAAGATATATGACAGATATTCATACTACTCATAAGGATATAAAAGGAAAAACGACTTACATTAAATGCTTCATCCAGAATGGGCTCATTCATGACTTGAGTAGCCCAAATCCCTTTGTTTACTGATAATTGGATATTTTCATGGTTCAAACTCTTGATTATGAAATATCTTATGCCATAGAATTTACCATTTTCAATTGCACTTGAAATTCCGATCTGCTGACATGAATTTGTGCGTTCTTCTGCTCCAAAACGACAGGTATCCTCATTAGCTCTGTAGCTTGGAGTATCTGAAAAAAGAGTTCACATATTTAATTGAAGCAGCATATACTTGTACAACGTAATTCATAAGCTCTGTTATTTAACTACCACTGCCATGTCAATGACAAGGAAGCTACAGCATATATCATAATGATCTAAAAACAGTAACAAAAGTAAGAAAAAGAAGCATTTTTTCACAACCAAAAAAATAATGGAGCAAGCATAGGAGCTAGCTTGAACTGCTTGTGCATAGAAATTAATCATCTGGTTCCAACAACTCAAAACATCTCCTAGAAGAAAATAAATGAGCACACAGCCATTTTCCGCCAAGTTACTAATAATTATTGATATAAGATTCAGTAAGTAAAACTTGACAAGAAGTTAGATTGTGGTATGGCTCTTGAATAATATAATCAAGTTGAGATTGGAAAATCGATCGCAGGTAAAATATTATAATGATCCCCGGGGATTTGGTCATGTTCAAACTTTTTTTTTTTTTTGAATTGGTAACTATTGTATATATTAAAAACATCAGTACATAGGTTGCACTGAAAACCAAATTTACATGAAGAGGATTAGTAGATGTTCTAATTCGAGACCTAGCAAGATCCTAGTATGTCTATGATTGTCAATGTATCTTCTATGTAAATTTGTTTGCACCAAAAACAAAAAAGAAGAATACAAGGTCATGTTCAAACTTTGCCGCTGACAAAAGCTTGGTATTTAAGTGGAGAAGTGTAGGAGGGCCGGCCTCCTATCCACCGAGTTTCAAACACTGCACCAGTGGCCTCGGGGATTTCTCGGTCATCAAATCGGAGGTATTATTATTAACGTCGATATACTCAGGTTGCACTTATTATAATGGATGAATACACCAAAAGAAGCGGAAACTGAAAAAGAAAAGAAGTCGGGATACAATAAGTAAATACTTTAAGAATCCTATAAGCCTGATATTCCAAAAATTTTACAGAGGGAGAAAGAGAGAGGAAGTTACAACCACAAAATAGGAACAGGACAGAAGGTGAAAAGCTCTGTACAAATCTCCAAACAACTTTACGTAACCCACAGGTTCTACGAAGGCTTGAAATTGCATTACAACATCCAAGTTGAGAAGTCTTTTTATTTCTCAAGTGAAAATCCAGTTAAATAAACCAAATCTCACCATGTTTGGCCATCATTTGACCTACTTCAAGCTTCTTCAACTGAAAAGTTAAGAAGTGTTTATTGCTCGTCAATTTCATAGCAAAGCCAACAAAAACGTTGAGGGATGACAACACTTTTTCAAGGGGAATTAAACCTGTGCATCTAAATGACTATATCTGTATGTTATGCATATAAATTCATGGAGGGTGTCAACCTTGTAACAAATCTCAATGACAGCCATTACTATTCAGACAAAAAAACACAGAATTCAACTATGAAGAGATTTAGCATCACTTTTACCTGGTTCGTCCATATTCCCTCTTTCATTTTTCCATTCAGTCACTGAGGAATCAACTACAGATGCATTTTCTTTTGCAGTATCTGATGACATTAGCTTGGCTACGACCACCTACCAAAAAAGACCCAGCAGAATGACAGTAGAATTAGGTTTAAAACTACAAGACCTCCAAATAGATGAAACAAAAAATATTGAAAGGTAAGCCGTAAAAAAATTAAATTGAATGAATGGAACTCGTCTTCTCCATGCTCTCAGCTCACGTTAGCTAAACGTGCACCGAGTGCGGCTGCCATGGCTAGGGGCGAGGTAGAGGAAAAGGAAGCCCAAAAAAGGTCCCTAAGACGCCGATCTCGACTATTAGAAACTTAATTAGTACCAATTCGAAAGTTGAACAGCGAAACCAAGTCATGCAAACACCAGATCAGCATGAAGGAGTAGAAGCAGAAAAAGGTGAAGATAGTCCATTGACTAGCTTGGAGGTTAGTAGGAAGCTGAATCTAGGCACATCAACTCAATCTAAGCAAAGTGAGACTACCAGTACCGCTATAGCTGCTGGGAATTTCAATGGAATAGTAGCTGACTTGACAATTAAGGACATGCAGAAGACCATAAGCACAGAGGCAACTACAGAACAAAGAGAAGCTGCTATTGAAACTCGAGAACATGTGAATCTAGAGGCTAAAGAGGGAAACCATGTAGATCGAAGAGAAGAACCAAAAAAGTGGTCCAACTTGTTCCAACAGAATCAAGTTGCAACTCATGGAATGGCTCTTAGAGTCAGATTATAGAAGGGCAAACTGTGGTACAACTTGAGATGCAGGATGTGAAGGAAGCTGAAGAAAAGTGGAGTGCTGCGATGATAGCCTATATTGTGGGTGAAAATCCGGGCTATAATGCTATGCAAAGGTACATTACTCAACATTGGCTTGATGTCGCTGAGCCAGATCTATTTCTTCATGAGGATGGATATTATGTGATAAAATTCCAAAACCTAGCTGATATGCATAGAATATTTTATGCTGGACCTCAAACCTTCAGAAATAAGCCAATAATTCTTAAGCCCTGGTCACCAGATTTTGATCTAAGTAAGGAATTCCTAACTGATATACCTCTGTGGGTAATTTTCCCTAAATTGCCAATGAGTAGCCGGGGAAATGAAGCACTGAGTAAAATTGCCAGTGCTATTGGAAAACCTTTATTTGCTGATGAGTGTACTACCAAGCAAACACGAATTTCATATGCAAGAATGTTGATTGAAGTGAATGTGACTAAAGCTATGCCGACAGAGATTATGGTGAGGGATCCTAGAGGGAGAGTTTTCCAGCAGGATCTAATATATGAGTGGAAACCAATGTATTGTGACAAATGCCAAGCTATTGGCCATGTCAGTTCTACTCACCAAGAGCCTAAATAGCAAAAGGAGGTTCAACCAAAGAGGAGAAGAGAACCAAAGAAAGTCACTTATGAATGGAGAACTAAAGGACCAGTCACAAATGCTACAAGCAATTCAGAACCTGGGCACACAAAAGCAGCTGGTATTGAGGTACCTAAGGCAGCTGGAGTGACAAAGTCAAATGAAATTGCCAAGGAAAGACCTCAGCAGTATCCAACAGAGCAGTCACAACAAGCAAGCCAACACCAGTTGGCTAGAGATGCAGAGGGTTATGGAGTTGAAGCAATTAATAAGGGCAAGAAGCAAGTATTGGACTTCAGCCTTGAAACTTTCCTATGTTAACACCTTTAGCTAGTAGAGGCAGTCTGAAAAGTGGAACAGCAGGTGCTAGTGGAAGCTCTAACCTACCCCATGATAGAGGTGGGGGATCTAAACTCAATTAATGAGGTGGTTAATCCGGAATGTTAGGGGCATTAATAAGTGGCACAAGAGGAAGGAGCTGAAAAACTATCTAAAGAATAAAAACATTAGTTTAGCTGGGATCATTGAAACAAGAGTAAAGGAACACAATACTAGAAGCGTCAGCCATCATATAGCCCCTGGGTGGGAGATGTTCAACAACTATAATGCTGCAGTCAATGGAAGAATATGGTTACTATGGGATACTAATTACTACTCAGTCAGGGTGATTAAAGCAGAGGCACAGGTACTACATTGTGCTGTCACAAATATCAGAAATGATCATGAATATGCAGGGTCCATAGTTTATGGTTTTAATACAGTTGAACAAAGGAAACTGTTATGGGATAACTTGAAAGAGATAGAGCAAATGACATCCATACCATGGGTGATTGGGGGAGATTTTAATGCTGTTTTGCAACTACAAGATAGAATGCATGGAAATCCAATTACTAAGGCTGAGACTCAAGATTTCAGCAAATGTATCCAAGATATGAAGCTTAGTGAATTGACTTGGGAGGGTGATTATTATACGTGGTCCAACAAGCAAGGTGGTGGAGACAGGACATGGAGCAGAATTGATAGGATGTTTGGTAATTATGAATGGATGATGCAATGGGGTCATATATCCACTGTGTATGAACTACCATTTATTTCTGATCATGCTCCTGTGACACTAACCTTCAATGATCAGCACAGAAGTAGGAAAATACCTTTCAAATTTTTCAATATCTGGGTTGAGCATGAGAGGTTCAATTATGAAGTGCAACAAATTTGGGAGCAAAGTTTTCACAGACAGAAGATGCAGAATGTGTGGATGAAATTAAAAGCACTAAGGCTAGTACTGAGGAAACTGAATGTGGAGGAGTTTAAGTTCATTAGACAAAAGATAGAGATAGCCAAAATTGAACTTGAACAGGTCCAAAAAAGCATAGACACAAGTAGCTCCTCTGAGTTGCTACTGCAAGAAAAGGAATTAATTCAGAATTTGGAAAAATGGGATCTGATAGAAGAGGGAGCTCTGAAACAAAAAGCCAGAGCAAAATGGATACAACTAGGTGACTCTAATTCTAAATATTTCTCAGCTGTGATGAAAGAGAGGAGCCAAAGGAAGCAAATAGTGGAGTTGCATTCCAGCACTGGCAGCAGGATTACAGATTCAGAAAGCATCGAAAGGGAGATAGTAGAATTTTATAAATCACTTATGGGTACTGCTGCCCATTCACTCCCTGCTATAGACAAAAGGGTTATATGTATGGGAACTAAACTTAATCAACAACAAAGGATTGAGTTATGCAGAGAGGTGACTCCAGAAGAGATCTATGAAGGATTATGCTCTATTAACAATGAAGGCTCCTGGTGTGGATGGTTATAATGCATATTTCTTCAAGAAAGCATGGCATGTTATTAAAGATGAAGTCACTGCAGTTGTTATGGAGTTTTTTAGCACTGGGATTCTGTATAGAGCTATAAATTGCACAGCCATAACCTTGGTCCCTAAGGTGTCTAGGCCTAAAACTGTGAAGGAGTTAAGACCTATAGCATGTAGCACTGTCCTCTACAAAATGATATTCAAGATTCTAGCAGCAAGAATGCAAGGTATCATTAGTACAATTATTAATGAAGCACAAGCAGGGTTTATACCTGGGAGAAACCTAGCAGACAATATCCTTTTGGCTCATGAACTGGTGAAGGTTTATACTAGGAAGAATATATCTCCTAGGTGCATGATAAAGATATATCTCCAGAAAGCCAATGATTCTGTGGAGTGGCCTTATATGAAGCAAGTTATGGAAGAACTAGGATTCCCTCAGCTATTCATATCTTGGGTTATGGAATGTGTTCAGACAGTTAACTACTCTATTGTAGTTAATGGGGAACCAACTAAGACCTTTAATGCTGCTAAAGGATTGAGGCAGGGAGATCCCATGTCTCCATTTTTGTTTGCCATAGCAATGGAGTATCTGAGTAGGAACTTGGCTAGTCTGAAGCAGGAGGGGGACTTTAAGTATCACCCTAGATGTGCAAAGATTGGGATCACTCACCTGAGTTTTGCAGATGATTTATTACTATTTGCCATAGGTGATCTAAAGACAGTACAAGTGATGCAACAAAAATTCTATCAATTCACTCAGGTTTCAGGTGTACAAGCAAACCTTAGTAAGAGTGAAGCTTACTTTGGAGGGGTTTCTTTGGTAGATAAACAACAAATTCTGCAGCTGTTGGGGCTCTCAAATGGTGAACTTCCTTTTAAATATTTAGAGGTACCTCTATCTACAAAGAAACAAAGTATAATGCAGTGGCAACCACTTATTGACAAAATGACTACAAGGATTACTTCTTGGACTGCTAAGACTCTATCTTATGCAGGAAGAGTCCAGTTAGTCCAAAGTGTTTTGTTTGGAATTCAGCTTTTCTGGGCACATATTCATTCTTCCAACAAAAGTGACCAAGATTGTAGAGGGGCTATGCAGATCTTATATTTGGTCTGGTACAAATGAAATAACAAGGAAGGCCTTGCTTGCTTGGGATAGAGTATGCTTGCCAAAGGCAGGAGGTGGACTGAATATTGTTAACCTGAAGCTATGGAACAAAGCAGCCATTGCCAAACACTGCTGGGATTTAGCTCACAAGCAAGATAAGTTGTGGATCCGCTGGATTCATACTTACTACATCAAGAACCAACAGATGAGTACAATGCCAACACCCCAGCAAGCCTGTTGGATGGTAAGAAAAGTGATAGAGGCACATGGAATTCTGGAAACTAGACAGTTTATGCAAACTCACAACAGAAGCCTGATCAGACAAATATACCTACATCTACTTGGTGACTATAGCAGGGTGGAATGGAAAATATTAATGTTCAATAATGCAACAAGACCAAAGGCAAAATTTATAATGTGGCTGATGATGCATGGGGGATTGATGACTAGTGACAGGATAGCTAACTGGAAGATCAATGTTGACACACAATGTGTAATGTGCAGAAAAGCAGTGGAAACAAGAGACCATCTGTTTGGGCAGTGTGAATTTACTCAACAAGTATGGATCAAAATGTGCAACTGGATGAAGAAGCAATTTCAGGGGTATACCAACTGGCAACAATTCAGCCAATGGTCAGTGATATGTGCTAAAGGGAAACTCAACATGCTTAGGTTTTTAGAATGGTTTATGCAGAAGTTGCTTACCACATTTGGATGGAGAGAAACAGGCGTATATTTGAACAAAAAGGCAGAGTTTGGGAGCAGATTACAAAAAAGATAGCTTTTGTTGTTAGTCTTAGAGTCACTCCTAGAAATAAGTCGCTTGTGTATAGATTATATTTCTAGATAGTTGAGTATTCAATGTAAATGGATAGATAGCAAGCTGTGTTAGCTATGCTAAAGTTTTGTAATTACTACTTGGTGATTAATAAAATAAGTTAGTTACCAAAAAAATGAAACCTTCAGAAAGCAAATCTGTCATACAGTAAATAATACTCCCTCCATTTCAATTTATGTGAACCTATTTCCTTTTTAGTCCGTGCCAAAAAGAATGGCCTCTTTCTTTATTTGGAAACAATTTACCTTTATGCAATGATTTATAGCCACACAAAATATATGTACTTCATTTTACACCACAAGTTCAAAAGTCTTCTCTCTTTTCTTAGACGTCGTGCCCAGTCAAATGGGTTTACATAAATTGAAACGAAGGGAGTAATATACTTGGTCCCTAAGGCTGTATATAATAATTTGGATCACCTAAAGAAAATTCTCAGATGGAATCATGTTTAAATGCCATAAAAATTATCGCCAAACAAACCCAAAACTAGTACACATCACCGACCTTCGAACAAATAGAGTTTGATATCTCATATGGTGCTGTGTTGGCAACTGGCAACAACATGACATTCCAGAAAGCTAAAAACTAAAAATCTAGAAATCTCATCTAATGTGAAATAAATGGAACAAAAAGGAAAGGCAGACAAGTGTTGAGTTAATCAAAGCTCGATAATCAGGAGAGGAAAATGGAACTAGCATTTGTAGAGTGTAGTAACAACATTAATATGCTGAACAGTACTCAGCAAAGCCTTCAAGCATCAAAATTCCGTAGATTGTGAATGCTATAAAGTTGATGGTGAGAGAAAAACTAAGGTAACTTCAGAAAAACCTTAAGTAATTCAAGATTTCACATTATTTTCCCAAAAAGAAAGTCAACGATTTAAGAGGACCTTTCTTGTTATGCAATGCTTGAACTATTTGGTCATGAAGTGATTATGAATGAGATGAATTAAAACTCATCATTTTTTGTGGAAAATGCACGAGAAGAAGTTTTGATAAGACCAAATGTTCCCGCATCATTTATTTTTGCAGAAAGCTAAAACAACAAGAACAAGTTGCTTCGCTATACTCTTCCGTGAACAAAACATATAAATTCAACTTTGGGGTGCCCTATGTGGCCCTATGTCCTAGGTTTCCAACGTCCATATCGAGCACCCGCTTCAAGATGCTCTATAGTACATATGTAAGAAAAGTAGAAACCAACTTACAAGACAAAGGTCATCTAACAAATTTCAAGGACCAGCATTCTTATTATGTGTGGCACACATAGCTTCCGGAGTTTTACGTGTCTGTTGGATGTTAAGCTTCAAATTCAATCCACTTTTAAATTAAAGTTAAAGATTTTTTATGTTCAGTCCACTTTAATCCATTTTCTTTCAATTCAACAAATCTGATTTAGCATTTTAAGTTTTCCGCCTGATGGGAACGTCTCCCTACTATAAACTATCTCTTGATACATTCTGGATGTGTAATGTTAAAGACTATCTTTTGTGAACATTTTTCTCCGCTTTTTTTCTTCAGTTGCCTTTTTTCACTCCCTGACTTCAACGCAGAGGCGGATTCAGGATTTGAACTTTATGCTTCAAGTTAGGAATTCTACCACAACCCCTTCAATTTACTGAATTCAAAATCTATAATCATACTTATTTAATAGAACTTTTAACGTGAGCCATAGTTACTGGGTTCGAATGAACCCATAACTTATGCACTAAATCTGCCTGTGCTTCAGTGTAGCTACTGGCTACACAAAATGAACTCTTCGATATACATAATAGTGATCAAACAATAGTCGAGCAAGTGCCATTAATTCTTCAACATTGTAATAACATGCTCGTGATTTCAAAAAACTTCATCTAAATTGACAGCTACAGTTTCTTCATCTTTTTTTTAATGATCGAGAAATCTGTCTGAGCCAACCCGCAGCCTCTGAAAATTGGGGATTATGGGTCCACTCCTCTACCCTTTTCCACTTAAATATCAGACTTAGTTCGTTCTTCATCTTTCTTTGTGAAGAAGAAAGAAAAGTCCCACAAACCCACATCATAAAACAATTCAATCAGCAAATTCTTTCACTAAAAATTATTCATGTACAACTTCAACAGTGTAAATAAAATGCTCACAAAATTCAAGAAACCCACAAACCCACATCATAAAACAATTCAATCAGCAAATTCTTTCACTAAAAATTATTCATGTACAACTTCAACAGTGTAAATAAAATGCTCACAAAATTCAAGAAACCCACAAACCCACATGATAAAACAACTCATTATGCAAATTATTTAACTAAAAGTAATTCATTTACAACGTCATTTGTAACAAGAAGAAACGGAATGCAAATTTGGGTTTAGGGTTTTTTAAAAGTTGTTTAATGCCTTGAAATTGAAAACTAAAAGGGAATTTATTTACCTTTAAAATTCAGATAGAGAGAGAGAGAGAGTTGGGGTTTCAGGTTTGGAAGTTGGAGCGATGGAGCAGAGTAGCGTCCAGTTTGATGGAGATAAGCTGTGCCCTAATTTGGCCCCCAATTTGGCCCGAATAATACTTTATTGGTTTAAATTTGAGGAAAAAGAAGAAATATATCCCTATAATATAAGTACCATAAGATAATTGTGTTTTATTACTTTTGTTTTTTTGTATATAAGATACATGATATCCTTATACTTATATCTATAAGCATTAAAAAAATTGTCTTTCTATAATTTTTTTAAACATAGTAAATATTTGATAATTAATTAATTATATGATTAAGTATATAAACATGTGCTATGTAATTGTTGAATTGATAGGAAAAGGTCTAAATTTACACCTCTGCTTTAGAATATTGTCTACGTCTAATTTCCGTTATACTATTCAGCTAAATTTATCCCTGCCGTTATACTATCCGGCCAAATTTATCTTTACCATCAGCAAACTTTTGAAAATTACCTCGGGGTCTGCCAGGTGACCCCGAATCTCCCAAATTATTTTAATTAAGTCACTTATTCTTCTTCTTGATTCACTATTTTCGAAATAGGCATTTATGTGCTTTTTTAATTGGAAAAAAATGTTAAAATAATACAATGATTAATAAACAAAGTATGACAAATTGAAGAATCTAAATTAGGTAGCTTATCTAAATTCCAAAAGTATTTACGATACACCAACTTTAATGAATTTGTTGCACCAAAGGTATGGAGACTTTGCAAGTATCGGTGATAGAAGTTGAAGTTCCTTGGAGACTTTACATCGTCGAATTCAACTTTGCTATAACCAATGCCTACGCATTGTGTACTCTTAAGTTAGTCGATCGACCTTTATACTAACCAAACAATAACAAAATATATTCGAATATACATGTATATACATGATTAGCAGATGCATATAATACATAATAGATAAACCATTTAATTCTATGGTGTGTATAAGGTTGAAAAATAAATAAAATTTTAAACTAATTCCAAACTCATTATCACCAGAAGAGAAGTGAGTGCAATGGTAATTAAAAATATCCATAAATAATTTGTATAGTCCATTAATTTTTAGCATTTACATCAATAGTAATTCTGAAAACGGTGGAGCAAGAAGAACAACAAGTGATTTAAATAAAAGGAAATTGGGAGATTTTAGATTACCTAACAGATTAAGGTGTAATTTTCAAAAATTTGTTGATGGTAGGAGAAAATTTGGCCGGTTTGTATAACGATAGGATAAATTTGGTCGGATAGTATAACGGAGATTAAATATAAATAGTATTCGAAAATAAAGGGATATATTTGACCATTTTTCGTTTGATATATACTGATAACTCTTTGTCCAATTTAAAAAATGATTGTCAAAGTCTTATTTCATAAAAGTTTGGTGACGAAGAGGAGGCAATTTGCACTTTCGGACTCATTACATTTGTGCAACACACAATAAACCAGCATAAAATTTCAATTTTCAGTAGAAAAATATATTTTGGGTTAAAGATGGAAACAAAAATTACCCAGCTTTATCTAGCTTTAAACCAAATACATATTTTAGATTATACATTGCATATCTTATTTTTAATTTGTCACACTATGAAAGTTTGGCAGAGGACGGTGGAAGTGAGGGTAAGGATGATTGTGTCTATATCCGAGAATCAATTTGGTTTCATGCTGGATTGTTCGACTACGGATGATCGTCTTCTTTGGAGGTGTTTGGAGGCTAAAAGTGTTCCGGTAGAGTGATTAAGGATATGTATGATGAAGGTAAGACTCGGATGAGATGAGAACGGTGGAGGAAAACTCATAGCATTTCCCGGTTTGGATGGGGCTACACCAAGGATCTGCACTCAGCCCGTTCTTGTTTGCATTGGCGATGGACACAGTGACGCATCATATTCAAGGGGAGGTACCATCGTGTATGTTATTCGCCGATGATATAGTACTGATTGACGAAACATGAGATAGTGTTAACAAGAAGTTGGAGGTTTGTAGACATACTAAACGAAGCATATAACACTAAATAAACGTGAGATTATTAATTCCAGAATTATAATCACAGGATAATCTTGTCCGCGAACCAATCGAACAATCTCACGTGGCAAATACATAAAAGCAACAAGCACCCACGTGTCAACCATATATAGGATTCTAGATTCTCGACAAAAATCATAAAGCTGACTTGGCAAATTCTGTTACATCAAAAAACAGTTAAAACCAGGAAACGATTTTCTTGAAATCAAGAAAATCAAAACAAAAGCTTTTCAACTTTCAATATTCTCCACACATTCATACACATAACCTTATCTTCATCTCTTATCAAAACTCATCAAATTCTCCATTTTTCAGATTTTTCACAAATGCAATATTCATTTCTACTTACCCTACTTCCACTTCACTCCCTCCACCACCACCACTGCTGCTGCCGCCGCCGTCGCCGCCACAAATGGCCACTAAATTTGGGTTTACTATAACTAGCCCTCGCCTTTTTCATGCCCCTTTCAGGAAAAAACCCATTTTTTCTTCATCTTCTGCTTCTTTACAAGGTGCTTCATTTTCTTGTTCAAAGCTTCGTTTGATTAATTTTGGTGGAAGAAAATTAGCTATTAGGCGTAGGTTATTGGTTCTCTCTCCTAAGGCCACGACTGATCAGCCAGGTAAATTAATAATTATTCTTTTTTTTTTTGGATTTAAGCTATGTACACAGACGGTGATGTAAGCAGATGCGAATCCAGCATTTAAATTTTATGGGTTCAACTTTTAAGTTTTTTAGCATTAAACCCGTTATATTTCTTAAGTTATGGGTTCATGTCTATTATTTATTACAATTTCAGTGAAATTTTACACATAAATTTATGATCGACACCGAAAGTTGTGGGTCAGTTGAACCCGTACCCACTATGGTACATCCGCCTCTGGATGTAAGCTTCTTTCACACTATCAATAACCACTTTTACTAGATTACCGATTATTGCTTATCAAGAGATTTATTATTTATGATTATCTACTAAGTGACCTGATTGTGTAAATATTTTTTAGACTGCCAGTGCATACAACTTAAACTCTTTTTTTTCCTTATTTGATCAAAGTTTCATCTCATGCTATGAATATTTAAGTTGCGTATGCTAACGGTATCAAGAATTTTTACACCGCCAGTGCAATTTGGCTAGTTGTAGTCTTTAAGGTTATTACTCTATTTTCCAGGTTATCGTATTAGGCTTGATATGCATAGTTATTTGTTGTTGTAGATCACTTTAATTTAATAGTGTAAATTCTTTACACTATCAGTGTATTGAACATAAACTCTAGTACGACTATTTTTAACATGTAGTCAGCCTACTGCAATATTTCTCCTTTTATCTGGTTAAACTATAGGAATATCAAATAGGTGGCTTAAAAGATAAATCTTTTATCATTATGGTAATGAGATGGAGTTTAAAAAAGGGGAATAGATAAAGATGATTCATATAGCAAAACTCAACTAGTAGGGACGAAATGGGCTCAAAAAGAAAGGAATCGATAGAGGATTAGTATAGCCGACCGTGACTAGGTTGGGATTGAGGATTAGTTGATTGATTGAGATTTGATCAAAGTATACTCTTACTAAGGAGTATAGTTAGTTATAAACTATGTTGCTCGGACTCTCCAAAAGAGCTACCGCACCCGTGTCGGATCCTCCAAAAATGCACTAAACTTGGAGGATCTGACACGCACCCAACAACATTTTTGAAGAGTCCGAGTAATATAGGTTGTAAACCAAATAGTTGGTGCATGCTATTTGAAATGTTTTTGGAATTAGTCCTATTCAATATTCAAACTGTATAGATGTTGTTCTTGTGAGTATCTCAATGTGTTGCCTTTTGTTGTTGCTCTAAAATTTGGTAATCTTACCACTTCAATACTTCTGATAGTCAAGTTAGACTATAGCCTATAGGTAGGCCTATTAGTTGCTTTGTCAGTTCCTTCAGCCAAAATTTTTGGCAAGTCAAAAGTGAACTTTAGGTAAGTAAGTAATCGCATATGAAATCCATAAAATATTCATATCTAGAACTTGAGGAGGTCAATAGTAAGAACTCACATTCTCGTTATGTTAAAAAGGGTAGCCCGGTGCACTAAGCTCCCGCTATGTGCGAGGTTCGGGGAAGGGCCGGACTACAAGGGTCTATTGTACGCAGTCTTACCTGCATTTAGCAAGAGGCTGTTTCCACGGCTCGAACTCGTGACCTCCTGGTCATATGGCAGCAACTTTACCAGTTATGCCAAGGCTCCCTTCTCACATTTTCGTTGCGTTAATTGCAAGAATATGGGGGAATGTAGCAAATGGTAATATCAGCCTACTTCTAGCTGCTGGTTCTCTTTCTATTTACTCAAAGAAAGCAACCTTTATGTACCATCAAGACAATGTAGACAACCAATAACTGATGTTTTTATATGAACTGAAAAATACTCTTATACCTTCTGTGTGTGTGTTTGTTATCTGTTTGTATGTTTTTTCTTCTTCTCCAAATTCTTCTTTTTATGGTGGCGTATACCACATCATTTGACGACTCACTTTTGCTTTCAGGTCAGCTCAACGAGAATGAGGTTGAAGACAGTAAAATCTTGCAATATTGTAGCATTGACGGGAAAGGAAAGAAGTCTTTAGGGGAAATGGAGCAAGAGTTTCTTCAAGCACTGCAAGTACTGAAGCAGAATCAGTTACTAATTCGTCGATTGTTTTCATTCTCATTCTACTAAAGTTATTAACACTTTCTTGGCTCTGTACCACAGTCATTCTATTATGAAGGAAAGGCGATCATGTCAAATGAGGAATTCGATAACCTTAAGGAAGAATTAATGTGGGAAGGGAGCAGCGTCGTCATGCTAAGTATGGAAGAATTTCAGTCTATTTTTGTCGCATTGGCACTTAAAATAGGTATAGTAATAGCAAATTCCTCACAATGCAGGCACGGACGAACAGAAGTTTCTGGAAGCTTCTATGGCTTATGTATCTGGGAATCCAATTATGACTGATAAAGAGTATGACAAGCTGAAGATGAAACTTAAGGTACTTAGTTATTAGCATTATATAGTCAGACCTCTCTATAACAACATCGCTATATAACAGTCATTTACTATAAAAGCCAAGTTTTTTATGAAACCAATTTCTATGCTATGCTATAATATATGTTCTCTATAACACCATTTCGTTATATTAGCCAATAAAATTCGGAACAAATAAGGTTGTTATAGAGAGGTTTGACTGTATTATTTATTGTTATTGATAAGATAAGAGAAGATCCAATAAATGAAAAAGATTTGTTATTTTGACAGCTTTTTCAAAGAAAGCAAATGATTTTACTGTATAATACTGAGGGTGTTTTCTTTTCTATTCTTATCACCATTTAGTTGGTAGTTTAAGCTTATCAATTTATGAAGTAGTTGAACTATGTTAGTCATTGCTATTCTTCAACTTATTGCCCTTACAAATATGAACAAACCAAGTTAGTTGTTACTGTTCTTTCTGTTGCTTTCTTTGTTTCTTATAATATCGCGGTCTTATGTAGTCTTTCCTGTATTGACACCTCTTAATTTTCTAGAGGGATGGCAGCGATATTGTGGTTGAGGGTCCTCGGTGCAGTCTTCGAAGTAGAAAGGTTTGTACTACTTCTCTGCTCAATGAGACATTTACTAGTTGGTTAATAGGTACTCATCTTTTATATTGCATCTGTGAAAATACTTATTTTGTGCCATCATACGTTCGAAGAGAATCCTTGGAGTCTCCATGTGACTATAGGTCATGGGTTCGAGCTGTGGAAGCAGCCACTAATGCTTGTATTAGGGTAGGCTGTCTACATCACTCCCCTCGGGATGAGGCCCTTCCCCAGACCCTGTGTGAACACGGGATGCTTTGTGCACCGGGCTGCCCTTTTTTTTTTGCCATCATGCGTTTACGCAAGACGTTTATGAGGTTAAGTGGTTAAATAAACTTTACTTGTTGCAGGTTTATAGCGACCTTTCTGTTGATTATCTGAAGATGTTCTTGTTAAATGTCCCTGCTGCTGTTGTTGCTCTTGGATTGTGAGTATTACTTAACTCTCTCAGCATTATAAAATTTCATTTCTTTATATATTATCATTAGTTTCTCAACCTGGTTATACATTACATCTTTTTTCCTATGTAATAAGCCATTTATAAACCCCACCGAAATTTGATGATTTCTTCTATCACTACTTACTCCATCCTAAATTGCTCATTTTTTCACTTGCAGAAAGATGCGTTTACTGAAATGCTAAATTAGAGAACATAAGGTTCCCATAAATTTCTTTTTTAGTCCAATATTTCAACAACGACACACACAATATATATCCATACGTGGGGTCTGGGAAGGATTGTGTATACACAGACCTTTCCCCTACCTTGTGCAGGTAGAGAGACTGTTTCCAAGATACCCTCGGCTCGAGCAAGATTAGTCCAGTATTTTTTAAAAAGAGAGAGACAGAGTTGTAGATATCTTGCTTCAAGATTGATAAGGAGTTAATGATTCTTGAACATGTACTTGCTTTGAGCGCCTACTTGGTTTCTATAGTTTGCGCTATATGATATTTACTGAACTTGAGATAGTCAAGGGAGAATATTGTGGATATCCAACTTGAGATAAAAGAAAACTTAAGTGCATTAGGTGAAGTTATTTTTTTGAAACTTGAACTGTTGATACCACACTTCTCTGTGTTCTTATCTCATGAAGCAACCAACATGATTTTGCTGTAATAAACATGTTTGGCTAATTTCTTGCTAGGTTCTTTTTCCTCGACGATTTGACTGGATTCGAGATCACTTATCTTTTGGAGGTAAGCATATCTTGTTACCTAGCCTGGTTCTTTATTTGTATCCCTATATTATCAAGTGGTTAATTGCAAAAGATCAGAGTATTCGTTTAACCTTTGTCAAATGCTATAATTTTGTCAATTTTGCAGCTTCCAGAGCCTTTCAGTTTCATTTTCACATGGTTTGCTGCTTTGCCTTTGATATTGTATCTATCCTTTACAATCACAAATATCGTCGTTAAAGATTTTCTGATCTTAAAGGTAAGATTTCATTAACAATGTGCGCATAGTATTATCTTATAATCTGTGTGTTTTATATTAACACACAATAAGTTCAATTTTCAGGGCCCTTGTCCGAATTGTGGAACAGAAAATACTTCCTTCTTTGGTACCATATTATCGATATCTAGTGGTGGTTCTACCAACAAAATAAAATGCTCAGGGTAAGTCCATGATCGTTAGTTTTGAGGTATTTTTAATCATTCTCTGCTTGATCTGTACGTAGTTTAATCACCGCCATGATCTTTCGCAGTTGTGGGACGGACTTGGTCTATGATTCAGACACGCGTTTGATCACGTTGCCTGAAGGAAGTACTGCATGATTCGAGGTACCTATGCTCTGTAGTCTATTTGTAATAACCCAGTTCACTAATGATATTGTCCGCTTTGGGCTTAGGCCTGTACGGCTGTAAACAAGCGTCAGAAGGGTCTAAAGCTTGCTTTCTTACCCAACATCTTTTCTGTGTTTTGCCAATATAGAATTTGCCTAGGGTGTAACATACACTATTATTGTTGCTCGAAAAAATATAGGCATTTTAGTTGGCATTGCTCACTTATTGTTCTTCAATCCAAACGCCACATAATAGTTCACATAACAACCATCTTTTATGTTCTCAGTTTACACTATATTACTTGAACATGACCTGTTCTACATCCTCTGTTGTCCTTGAGTTACAGGCTATGTTGCGCGGACTCTCCAAAATGTTGTCGCACCCGTGTCGGATACTCCAAAAATACACTACTTTTGAAGGAACCGACATGCACCTAGAGACATTGTTGGAGAGCCCGAGCAACATAGATTACAGATCATTTTCGATCTAGGAAAAAAGAGTTCTTTTCACGAGTTTATCTGTATTTTATCGCTTGTATGGAGAAGTATATAACCGATGAGAACTTTCCTCGTACAGGAAAACCATTGTCATTTACTGATAACTTTTGCAAAATGCAGGATGATTATATATGTGGAGAGTGGAGACATCTGCACAATAGATTGCACTAGAACAAGTTGCATATATTGGAAGTGCCAAATAACATACATGAGTCAAGGTTGTAAAAATGAAAAGCATTTTCAGTGTTGAAATTGTGAATGTTTTGCAACTTGTATTGTGTCCAATATGTTATGTAATGTGTGCATATAAGTATATGAATAAAAAAAAATTAACAGCTTTTAAGCACAGGTGATGAAGAATATCAAGGTCCTTGAAGTTGTGTCGATGTGCTTGTTTTTAGTTTTACGCCTTTTTTACAAGAAAATTATATTTTTTATACGTAAGAGATACGAAAATTACACACGAAAGATATTTACAGAGTCATTTTCTTCTATTTTCTCATGTCATTTTCTCCTAATTAAGTTATACTAGGTGAAGTTACAACCATTAGGCTACAACTTTAGGTGTCGACGTTTAAAACTGAGCTTCCATTTTTTTTTTAAAACTTTTTAATAATAAAATTTCCTTTCTTTTCGTCTTTTTCATCTAATATCTCATGTCATTAACTTGTAAAGAAATTTCCAAAAGATAGCAGTTGACAGTAGAAGCAAAATTCAAATTTGTTTATGAAGAGGGTAAAAATCATTTACGCCTAGATTTTTAACTTTGAGAATCTAGACAACTTGTCTTTCCTCTCATCTATTTACATGCATTACATGCATCCTACTTCTCTTAATATTATAATTACTAACATAAAAGGGTAGCCCGATGCATTAAGTTCTCGCTATGCGCGGGGCGGTCCGGGGAATGGCTGGACCACAAGAGTCTATCGTACGCAGCCTTATCATACATTTCTGCAAGAGGTTGTTTTCACGGCTCGAACCTGTGACCTCCTGGTCACATGACAACAACTTTGCTAGTTACGCTGAGGCTGCCCTTCATAACTACTAATATACTAATTGTTATTAATATCTTGAAACTTTCTTTCAATGATCTGTCAAAAGGGAGGTGTAATCAATCATTACAAAATTCAGAAAATACAAGATAAGATAAGGTTTTAGTTTTAGTTCTTCTATTTGGGTTCCATTATTAAGGCATTAAATCAAGAATAGGCACTAAACCTAATAGTATGATANTCCCAAAGCTGGATTACAACTTACAAGATATAAACATAACCAATTTTAAAATGCAAAAGTTGACTTGTAAATTTTACATATGTTCGTGATAGCACGAAGCCTATACATTTGAAACATTATTTAGATACAAAAACTATATATTAAGACCTATATTTACAAAATCAAATAAGGCAATTGCAATTTTCTAAAGAACATCATTCCTCCTCTCAAAAGGAGCTAAATTCCATGGCCTCTTTCCACCATAGATGGAGCTTGACATTCTTCTTCATTGTTGCAACACTAGCACTCATCGCTCAAGCACACGCCGCGGGCTATTCCACCCCTAGCGTCACCTTTAAAGCGACCCCTTGGCAACTCGCTCATGCCACGTTTTATGGCGATGAGACTGCAAGTGAGACAATGGGTGCGTTACACGAAACTAAAAAATATTATACATTTTATTAAACCTATCCAATCTTTTCGTTTTTCTTGTCATTTTAATTTTACTTGGAGCAACGGTAAAATTATCTCTATGTGACCTATAGGTCACACATTTGAACCCTGGAATCAGCCGCTGATGCTTGCATCAGAGTAAACTGCCTATATCACATCCCATTGGGGTGCGACCTTCCTTGGATCCTGCGCGAACACAGGATGCTTTGTGAATCAGGGGTTGGCCCGTTGTAAGAAGAACAACTATGTTCTCTCTTACCCTCCACATAGCTTGAGGTTAGAGGTGCTCTGCCACTAGAGCAAGCCTCACTTATCCGTCACAATCTTGAATTTGTGACGAAATTGAAGATCTGTCAAAAAAAGAATTTGCGTCACTTTTTCCTGAGACGATCATCTGTCCATCACAAATCCATCACAATCTGGATTCTGTGACGGATTTATGACGAATATGTCCGTTGCAAATACTAAATTTCTTTTAGTTAATAAGTCTAATGTTTTTATTTATTTTTTTCCTATTTTTTTTTAGGTGGAGCTTGTGGATATGGAAATTTATTCAATTCAGGTTATGGAACAGATACAGCAGCATTGAGTTCAGTGTTATATAGCAATGGATATTCATGTGGACAATGTTACCAAATAAAATGTACACAATCAAAAGATTGCTACCCAACCATTGTCACAGTCACTGCAACCAATCTCTGCCCACCAAATTGGTCACAAGACTCAGATCATGGTGGTTGGTGCAACCCACCTCGTACACATTTTGACATGGCTAAACCTGCTTTCATGAAAATTGCTCAATGGAAAGCTGGCATTGTTCCTGTTTCGTATCGCAGGTATGATTCAACTGAACTGATTACTTTCTGTTCTAACTATGCATATAAACGGGAAAAAATTAAAATGTTTGTGGATGTTAGTATAAGATTGCACTCATTGTGAACCTACTTAATCTAGATCGTGAATTCGTTTCTTGACAATGCCATGCAAGTATTTTGAATATTTTTTCACAAAATCCATATTCAAACACACACTTTCAACATGATTAGTAAATCAAGACAACCTAAGGATCCACGAAACACAGCAAAAATGGACCCTAAATTTACTTGCCTCTACTATTCTCTATCTTTTTCGTATGGTCGTGTTCTCATCAATTTATGCACGCTTTGACTATTCTATCAAATACCTGCTATTAGGGGCAGAGTGTAACAGCCCAGCCCCACCACCGTTCAAGTTTGCACGAGGGGAATCCCACATCGACAAAATACGGGAGAGATGTTGAGTATATAAGTAGACAAACCTTAGACTCTAGTGACGTATTTTAAAGCCGGTGCGGGTCTAGGCTCAAAGTGAACAACATCACTAGAAGGTTGGGCTATTACACAGAGTTACCCTTGTCCGATGGAAGTCAATTGACACACTTCGCTCCGAAAAACTACACTGCGTGGATAAATCAATTTATATATGTATACACACACAATATATTAAATCCACTTAGCTTTTAATGTATTTAGTTCTTTATGTTTTGAATTTTCTTACTGAAAATTCTGGCTCCACCGCTGACCACTACCTCTGACATGCACTATTGCTTCATGGTTGCAGGGTACCTTGTATTAGAAAAGGTGGAATCAAGTTTAGTTTCCAAGGAAATGGCTATTGGTTATTGGTATATGTGATGAATGTTGGTGGAGGTGGAGATGTGGCTAGTATGTGGGTAAAAGGAACTAAAACAAATTGGTTAAGTATGAGCCATAATTGGGGAGCTTCATATCAAGCATTCGCAACTCTAAGTGGTCAAGCACTTTCATTTAAACTCACTTCCTACACATCACATGAAACAATTATAGCTATTAATGTTGCACCTTCTAATTGGCAAGTAGGAATGACTTATCAAGCCAATGTCAATTTTCATTGATTAAGTCATGCAACATTTATTCTTATTTTTTTAATCATTTCTCGAGTTTTATTTTGCGATTGTTCTTGTATGGACTGATGTTTCACTAGTGAAAAGCTTACGATACAATTTTAGTTATGAGTATTGCCATTTTTCTATCTATACATAGACAGTATAAAGAACTTTTTACATTATCGCGTTAAAACTGATATACAACATGTAACTCTTGACACGCTCATAATTGGTAGTGCTATACGTCTCTAGAGATGTGCTAGGTTAACGGTCATAGCTGTCCCCGCTCTAGATAAAAGAGAGAAGTTGTGATAGGTTAACGGTCATAGTAAGAATAGTCTAACATCATGAAACCTTTAAATGATGAATTCATCGCAACATTCCTACCCTAGAAATGTGCTACTAAATCTTAATAGATAATAGGGCGAAATGGATATAATGAATTCATACAGTCGATCCCAAATTGTAGTTGATTGATATATTGTCGACACACAGACTACTTTTAGCATTTTAAGAGTTCCCAAAGGCGTATCGTTTAAACAATTAAGGCACAACTCAGATAATTTGCTCAATGGATTTCATTCAAATATGGACTACATTACATTGATGATTTTGCAATCATCTCTCAAACAAGTGAACCAAAAAACATTGAATTTGTTGAAAACTAAAAAGGCGCTGAACATTAGGAAAAAATATAATATTGGCAATAGTTATTCTTTTATATGCTGACAATAACTAAAAGAGCATAAGCCAACTTCATGACATTAGATCATGTTAGGACTGATCTTCAGTGACCATTGGCAAGTCCATTCTCAACACATTTTTGGGCATAAAATCTTCTGTACTTCGAATCGACTTCTGTGAGGTAGTAGGTACCCGGTGCTAAGAGGCTGCAATCCTTGGTTGTCACAAAGTCCTTACCACCATATCTGTGCTCCATTATATGCATCGTTTCAATGAATTTTTCAGGAGTGAACTGCACAAAAGATAGGTTGTCAAAGATAGTTATGGAACTCTAACCATTACAGAGTTGGTAACGAGTTCAAAGTCCACGAGTAAATTACAAAACAAAATCTTAACATACCTCATGTCTCGACTTCAATTTCTCATCAACGTTCATAACAGCTGCGATGTTTGACAAGCTAAAAGGTTGTTGACCTTCGTTAAGCCTTAATGAGAACATTGTTGCAGTCAATCCACTTCCGTAAGAGAACAAGATTACTCGCTGTCCAGCCTGAGTTTGCCAAAATCATTTGAAAATTAGATGAAACGCGATAGATGTTAACAAGAAACCGGACCAAAAGGGAAAGAAGTAACTTGTATTTACCAATGAGCTGTGCTTATTGTGAAGGAGGGAGGCAAAAGCAGCATAGAGAGACGCGGTGTACATGTTGCCAACTTGTTTTGGTATTAACGTGGCCGGTTTCACCTTCTCATCGTAAAATGGTTTTGCCACTTGCCAGGATACCTGTATATGCAAAATTTATAACTCATTAGTTAGTTCCAATCTCAACTTATATAAATCTGAAAATGACAAAAAAACTATTTTTTGGAGAACAAAGAATATGAAAGGTTTTGTACTGACCTTCTCAAGATCACGGCTTTGATAACTTTCATCACCAACTAAGGATGAAAATGGTGCAAGTTTTTCTTTGGTGGACTCATCAATGGAACTGCAAATGCAAAACCAAACAAGATCAGTCAACTGAATCCCGGTCACAAAATAAAAAATGATTCCTTTAATACGGATTATTTGCAACCCACCTAGCATTTCTTGTAAAGTCGTTGAACATCAATCGAGCAGTGCTCTTCTGTACTAGCTGCAGGATTCAATAAAACGTTCAGGTAATCCTTACCATCGCTTTATTATAGGAAAAAAATATCAAAATTCTGTATTGGATCCATAAAGTACCTTGTTGTATGGTGAATGGAAAACAAAATAGGCTGCATCGTCAATTGAAAACTGCTTGCCTTCCAATTTTTCATATCTAAAAATGTGAATGAGATGTTATTAAAGAAGATAATAAAGAGATTTTCGGAATATGAAAATGTGCTCAACCAGCGGCTTACTTGTCGCATAAGCTCTTGTAGCAGGAATCAAGTGCCATAAGATAACAAGTTTGTGAAAGCTTTCCATCAACCACCTGCAACAAACAATTACCATAAATTCATGTACAAACAACAATATCCTATATTTCTTCTAAATTGTGTCCAGGAAACAACAAATCGGAGCATTCTTGTGAAAATGAATAATTAACGAGACTTGCAGGGGATTAAGATAATTACTGGATATTCACTGTCGAGGATGGGCTTGTAAAAATCATAGACATGGGCCATATGGCTAGCTCTAATCTTGCTTTCGAATACAATAGGAGCATCTGGTCCTACTAGCATAGCAATTGCTGCAGCTCCTCCAGTTGGCCGAGCAGCTCCCTCAGCATAGACCTGTCAAAAGAAGCTTCCGAATAAGTGCATGTTAATCAAGAAAAGGCTCAAGTTCGTTGCAAATTATGCAACAAATGAGCAATGCATACGCAATATTGTAATGATCATACCGCACTGTCAGTGCATACAACAAGTCCATAGCGCCCATCCCATGAAGAGCTCTCGACCCAATTCACGCAGTTGAACAATGCAGCAGTTCCGCCATAACATGCATTAGTTGAGTCGACTCCTTCAATGTCAGTATTTCCACATTTCTGTTTGTTTCACACGGTACAGAAGCAGGGTAAGTTTTTGTTGAACAATATTTCTGTTTGTCATAATGTAAAGCTTTGCTGGTGAAGTGGAAGGTCAACAGAAACAAAAAAACAAAAAAGGTGCAACCAAACAATCAATTATTAAGGATGATGTACAACAAACAATGAACTCATATATTCTGCTTCATGAGCTAGTCTGCATTGAGCAGAGGTGGATGCGACCTTTGCTATATATACGTGAAGAACCAATAAATTTCAAATATTTGCTAGAACTGTGAGCCAGTACCTCAAATATTTGCATGAGGAATGTTTTGATGGATTTGCTCTTATCAATCACAGTCTCACTTCCAACCTCGAGACGACCAATTTGCTTAGGATCAATCTCATACTTCTCCAGAAGGGAAGTAACTGCTGTCAAACTGAATATGAACATTTTAATTAGAAACAGTATATTGACCAAAATTACACAAGCTAAATTATTTTACTCTAGAAATCAAATTAATCAGCTAGCAGAAGAAATTACAAACACTTTCAAACTACTCCCTTCATTTCAATTTATAGGTGCACAGTTTGACGCGGCATATAGTTTAAGAAAAAAATAAAAACTTTTGAAACTCGTGCTCTTAAATATATTATAACATTTATGTGGTTGTAACATTGTTGAAACTTGTGGTTTTAATCATGCAATAATATTTGTGTGGCTGTAAAAGTTTGTCAGTTGTCACTAAAAGGTAAAATGAAAAGTTTTCTTTTTGGAATGGCGAGAGTAATGGATGTATACCTCATAGATATAACATCTTCAACCTCAGTGCAAAAGCCCATACAATCTTGTCCAAGACCGATTGTGTATTTTCCTTTGCTTGCTCCATCATGAGCCTCCAATGCTTCCTATATAACAATTACAATATAATTTAAATTCTTTAAGTGATCAGAATATTGCCTTAAATTAGCAGATGAAGGGGAGTCTTGACGCAATAAGAAAGTTTCTGCCGCGTGACCAAAAAGTTAAAGAGTTCAAGCCACATTGTGTACTTAAAGACCCAATATGGTCCGATCCTTCCCCAAACCCCACGAGAGCTTAGTGCACCAGACTGCATTTTCTTTCCGGGGAAAATTTGGATGTGAAGAAAGAATGAAAAAGAAAAATAAAAAGAAAGAAAATGTAATAGGATAAGAAAGAGAAAAAGGTTTAAAAATTACGAAATAGACACATGGCAGTGCGTGATTTTATGCCAAGAATTTGATTATACAGTTTTATGGTGGTATTTATTCTAGTTTTTTTTTTTTTTTTAAAAAACTTGTATTAGCAGATCCAAATTACTGCAAATCAGATAAAATAATTGAATATTACATGACCCTTAAAAAGCACATAGGTTTTAACGGACTAAAGTTAAAGGCTGCAATATGGGATTCCAAAAGTAAAATAAAATAAACTGAAAACGTTGATTTCAAAAAATAATCTCAGAACAGAGCACGTGAATATGCTATACAGTCACGAATTAAATGTACAAAATATCCATGACATGTTGGTATAAACTACATATCACATTTTTTAATAATTAAGTATTATTTTTAAATAATGTGAAAAATTATTTATCTAGTCCTCAAATAGTAATATTGTCCTATAAAATGATACAGATAGAATATTAAAAATATTTTAAAGCTATGTTAATTATTCAGTAATCAAAGTAATTACTACACATATCTATGATCAAGTTTTTCTACTTATTCATTTGCCGAAGTATGAATTTAAATTATATAGACCGATAATGCAAAGATTTTTCCTTACTCCATCCGTTTTAATTTAAATGGCTTACGCTTATGAGAGCCAAATTGTACGAGTTTTGACCAATATTTTAAATATATTTTTTTTGATCATATTGACCTGAAAAAAGTTGCAACTTATACTACTTTTCATATAGTTTTTAAATATTTTAATTTAAATTTTAAAATAATGAGTTAAATTAATCCAATTTAGCTTCAAAATTTAGTCAAATCAACTCTCCATAAGCCAATTCTATCGCCTAAATTGAAACACATAGAGTATTATTTTTACTGAATTACTATAGAGATTTTAACTGTAATTACTTCTAACTGTAAGTGAGCTAATTATGTAAATATTTTTTAGTATATTGTTTATGTAAATATAGTCATTAGTCAAAGTAATATGTTCTTTTCTTTTGAAGATTTAACTCAAATACCCATCTACTTAATCTCTTAAATTAAAAATAGCAGTTAGATATATAATATATGCATTATTTATATTTAATATATGTATAACCATATATAATCTATATATATCGGCTATAAAATATAAATATTGAATCTAGCCGGCTATTTAGGTAATAATCCCTTACCTGTGGGAGGCAAGTAGGAGGGAAGTAAATTTCGACGGCGAGAATTCCGACATTCTTCGGTTGAGCTGCCATGTCTGATATTTCTTCTCTGTATTACTAAACGGAGAACGGAACAGATCGAAAAACACACAGTAACGGTGCGCGCACACACACTGTTTCTCTCTCTAAATTTCTTCGAACTGGAAAATATTTTGCAGAAGAGAGAGAAAGGGAAGAGGAAATAGTGGAAGCTTATAAAGAGAGAGGAGCGAATGATTTGTGTGGAGATTTTCACATGTTTAAGTTACATATTTATACTATCAAAGGTGAGAAATTTCCACTTTGATATTCCGCAGACTTATGGAGAAAATAAAAAAGAAAATAAAAAAGAAAAAAAAAATATTCCGCAGACTTATTCCGCAATTGACTGGACACAGAGTTTAAGAAATAAATGAGTTTAAATTTTTTGATTGGATACGGATTTAGAATTTGCATTCCGTGAATATAGTGGTGTTTGACTGAACATGGAGTTTAAGACTTTTGAAAGTTATGGTTTAGTACAAATCTTATACAGTCAAACCTTTCTATAACAACCTCGTTTGTTCCGGATATTTTTGGCTGTTATAGCGAATTGCTATTATAAAGAACATATATTATAACAAAATATAATATTTGATTCCGAAAAAATATGGCTTTTATAGTAAAGTGTTGTTATATAAGGATGATGTTATAGAGATATCTGATTGTATATTGTGTGGCTATAAATCATCTCATTAGAGCAAAGTAGGTTAAAATTAAATTATTACTAAATATAAAAAAAGTCATTATTCTAGGGAGCTTGACTAAAAAAGAAGGAGTGTCATATAAATTAGGAGGGGAAGAGTACTCTTTATCTTTTATTTTGTATAATTGTATTTAATTAAGCATAAAATTTAAGAAAGAAAGAAAAGCCTTTTGAAATTATAACCCAAAACAAACTACATTTGTATAATTGTATGGTTACAAATCATCTCGTTAATGATTACAAATATTTGTATGGTTACAAATCATCTCGTTAATGGTAAATGAGAATTTGAAGTTATATAAAGTGGCCTTTAGTCGGTACTTTGAAATACATATTTTTATGAGACCGATTTTTTACTAGACACAAAATTTAATAAAGATGAAACTTTTAATGCATGAGCTAAATATTTAACATGTTTAAAAAATTCCTAAAATCGTGTGCTCTTAAACATGTTATGACAATTTAATAATTAATATGTGAGCGTTAATTAATTTGTCGCCAAATTCACATATTACATTAAATTTAGAAATGGTTTAAACTTAAACTTAAAAGAAATAAAAAAGAGAATTTTTAGTTTCAAAAGGTACATGGAAAATTACCAGATCTATATCTGTTTTTTTGTCACTAGGGACAAATCCACTTTCAAGATATATATTTAAAAATAGAAATAAAACTAAAAGACCCCACACCTGTTGTACAACTAAACAGCCAACCTTGACTCCAATTTCCCTTTTATTTTTGCCAGTGTGTTCTTTATTGTCCGGGGCCATAGCTAGATAATAATAATAAATAAATAAATAAATAAGTAACTATTTTTTGTCTCGTAGTTGAAGGGAGTCTTGACGTAACTGATAAAGTTACTACCATATGATTTGAAGGTTACGGGTTCGAGTCGTGAAAACAACCTCTTACAAAAATATAGTGTAAGATTGTGTACAATAGACCCTTGTGGTTTGGCTCTTTCCGGGATCCCGTGCATAGCGGGAGTCCGAAGCTTAGTGCACCAAGCTACCCTTTTAGTCGATGTTTGATATTTGTATTGAGATTCGATTAAATTTAAATTTGCATCGAGAAGATTTATATTTGAGGGGTAAAACACTTTTTTAATAAAGACGAGTTCATATTTAGAGCTCGAATCCGAGGTCTTTAATTAAGGATGAGGAAGTACATACTATTTCATCAAAACTCGTATTGATACAACAACAAAATATACTCAGTGTGATCCCACAAGTACGATCTGGGAATTTGTTATTAAACTGTATTCGAAAATATATTCAAAAAATAAAAAATGCTATAAAATCATAAATGTAGAAGAACAGAATTATTACGAGCCCACTAAATTCACAGTGTTTTCTTGAGGAACTTAATCCCCTCATAGTACCCGAGGTTTATGATTATTTTCTTCCCAGGATAGAACGGATTACCCCTCACTGGTGTAGCGGTACTTCAAACCCCAGTGAACGAACGCAAAGAACAGTAGTAAATCACACTTACTGCTTTCTTTTCTGTTAAAACAATGCAGAAAGAAGAAGGAGAAATCAAAATTTTCGGAAGGAAAATATGAGGGAGAGTTCATGTATTTATAGCCAAAAACGTTGTGTAATACTAAAGAGTTACAACTCTTTATGTAAGGTTGCAACTCAAAGTGGGTGTTTTATAAAACGGCCATTTATGCAAACCTCCAAATTCAAATTATAACAGGAAAATTAAAACTGAGAAAAATTAAATTATCGTTACAGTAACGATCTAATTTGGATTAATTAATATTGCGTTAATATTAACAAATAAATTTGGTCCACAAAATTAATCAATCAAATCATTTGACCAAAGTCGAGCGACGATGACGACACGAGATTTGCCTTCTTCTTAACTCTTTAGGAGCTAGAAGAAGAGCAATTATATATATACCCGTCAAATATCTTTTCTTCCTCCAATGTGGGACAATGTCCCTTTGTCAAGAAGAGAAAATCAAAATTTCATTTTCCCCTCCATTTTTCATTCACTCTTTTTTAAGCTAATATTTTCTATAAACTCTCGGCTCAATAAAAGCAGTGTTGATAATAATAAGAAAACTTTTCTTATTAATGTAATTCTAAGTTGGCAAGATTAGATCCAGTTTTTAGTTTAAGTTTTGGGACTAAATAAGCTGCGTCTTCCTCCTCCCCACTTATAAATATATAGAATATAAAATTAAAGTATGAAATAAGCCTAATTAAATGGGTCAAAGTCGAAAACCTTCAATTCGAATTTTTATCTTTTTACCAAGTTAATTTTTTATTGGTTAAATGGGAATTTACAAATTCTGTTTTTTAATTGAATATTTTAACGAAATTTAATATGGTGCTGACAGCCAAACTTGACCCATTGAGCAACTTCATACAGTTAGTCAAAAAAGGAAGTGTTACGACTTACGACCATTTGTTATTCTGATTATTATATCAATAAATTTAATTTTTATTTCAAGAATTTAATAGGGTTGTTGAATTTTAATATTTGACAGCAGGTATTTTACCTATAATTAGTGAATAAATGATCTACTATACATATTTTCTACACTTTCAATGGGTAGAATTTAAATTCCTTATTTCAAAACAACTAAAAAAGACTGCATTTATCCAGGATTTAAAGTTAATGGGTTCCTACAACAATCTCAACTTAATATACAATATATATATATATATATATATATATATATATATAGTTTATGGGTTCACAATGTGATATTTATAGATATTTAATGAATTTCTTAATACATATACAAAGTATAAACAAAAACTACTAGGTTCCGATGAACCCATTCTTTGTGCTCTGGATCTGCCCCTGACCATGGGTTTTCTGAATTTAAATGGCTTACAACGGATGTTTATATACATACATAAATATAAATATATGTATGTATATAAATATTTTCTTTTGATATATATATATATATATATATATATATATATATATATATATATATATATATATAGGATTTAGTTGAGTCAATAGAGTACTACTCCAAACAGGAGTAAGTAGCCACCACACATACATTGAGTTCAGCAACCGAAATTGAAGATTTGCCCAAATGATGTTACCTTTTTTTAAAATAGATTTTTTTTCAACATAGCCCATGTATATATTCCCTTAGGTAAATATTTATTTATATCGGGTGTTTAACCTTAATTAAATAATTAATCTTAAGAATTAGCTAATCAAGTAAAATATATATATATTTCAAAACAATTTAATAGCTTAAGTAAGCTTTTATCTATTTTTAATTATTGTTTATTATGTAAGGCCTAGGCAATAATTGGAATCTACAGTGATTGAGTAGTGGTATAACATCATATAATATTAGAATGGAATGAGGCCATGATTCCATGAATCATAGAAAATTTGGTTCCATTTGACTCTATTTTATTTAGGTGGAAGTTAAGTTCAACTTTTATCACTAAGAGAAAAAAAAAGCAGCTCGAGACACAAAGTATTTTGCGTTCACGTAGGATTCAGAGAAAGGTGTTGCACTCCAAAGGGGTATGATGTAAGCAACTTACCCTGATACAGAGCATCAGTAGCTGATTTCACGGCTCGAACCTGTAACTTATAGGTTACACGGAAAGAACCTTATCGTTGCTCCTAGGCTCCTCTATCAACTTTTACCACTAGTAATCAAGAAAATGTTTGTTTAGGTGGAAGTTAAGTTCAACTTTTACCATTAGCAAAAAAAAGACAACCAGGTCAATAAAGTATCTTGCGTTCACGCAGGGTTCGGAGAAAGACGACACCTCAAGGGGTGTGATGTAGGCAGCCTACTCTGATGCAAGCATTCGTAGTTGATTCCGCGGCTCAAACTCGTAACCTAGAGATTACACCGAAAGAACCTAACCGTTGCTTCTAGGCTCCTCTTCAAACTTTACTGCTAGTAATCAAGAAAATGTTTGTACATGCTTCATCAAGAAAATCAATAATATATAGTAATAATATTTTTACGATGGAATTACTTGTATTTTTTCTTCCCGTTCTTGTAGAACTGGATGCTTTTTTTTTTCCTTTTTTTTTTTTTGTTCAGATCATAATAATTAATTAACTATCTCAGAAATCAAAGGAAAATGTATTTAAAACAAAATAAAAATTTGTGTTGAGAGTGGGATTTGAACCCACGCCCTTTCGGACCAGAACCTTAATCTGGCGCCTTAGACCAACTCGGCCATCTCAACACCTGCTATATATTTCTCATATTTTATATATATCTTCTTCATTTTAAAAGGATCAAGACCTATTATAAGCTTGGATTTTCAAACAATATGATAAACGTATAGAAGAAATTTTCAGGTGGGGTGATTTTTTTCTATTTTATATATATATATAGTTTACGTGATAGTATGAAAATAGACGTACTCAATATCTTCAATTCAAATTATCAAATAATTATTGGAAAGTGTAAGAAATTACAAAATGTCATTACTCTTATCAAGAACACAACTTCTGGAAAAAAGAAAAACCTAATTCCCAAAAAAATAAGTCGC